CCCCAAAGCCCATCCATCCAAATCCCCCTGCCGGAGCAGGAACACCCAGATGAGGTTACACAGGAAGGCGTCCAGGCGGGTTTTGAATGTCTGCAGAGAAGGAGACTCCACAACCTCTCTGGGCAGCCTGGGCCAGGGCTCTGTCACCCTCACTGAGAAGAAGTTTCTTCTCCAATTGAAGTGGAACCTCCTGTGTTCCAGTTTGTGTCCGTTACCCCTTGTCTTATCATTGTTTGTCACCGAGAAGAGCCTGGCTCCATCCTCGTGACACTCACCCTTAAATGTTTATAAACATGAATGAGGTCTCCCCTCAGTCTCCTCTTCTGCACAGGGCTTTGTTTAGCAGAGGCTTACATACGGTTACAGTAGTTCAGTTTCCTTTCTCTGTGAGGAAATATCCCATCAATCAGCAGACTCAAAAAGCGCTGCTGAGCTCTGGGCGAAGGCAGCGCCGTGGTTTCTTCTGAACAGTTGCAGTTCTCCGGCCAAAGCACTACCAAGTACTGAGCTACACGGGGGAGCGGATCCATGGACCAAGTGGAGCTGTTACACACGAGTATCAAAAAATACAACAACCCTGGGATGGAATATGAGATAAAGACACACTTAAGCATAAAAAGAAGAATAGAGTGATATATATTGCATTCAGAATATTTTCAAGGACAGCCGCAATACAAAACCACAATATTTTTGCCTCATAGTTGCATTTACCACTGTAGATTTTCATAACTGATCTTCAGCTCTGATAGTAAAACTGGCCGTTACTTTTTCTCCATAGGTTAAAATACTCCTGATAGCAATTATTCTTTCTTTCTTTCCCTGACTGCTGGGTGTGACTTTCCTGGAGCCTGCGCTTGGTCAGCAGGCCACACAAACCCAAAATAAATACTGAGCTCAAACAACCCCAGCTCCCCCCACCCATCAGTCTGTTGGTGTAGCCTCAGACTCCCGCCCTGCTCCACTCGCCTGAAGCAGCAGAGCAGTTTTTATGTGCTGGGGTACTGAATGAAGAGTGTGCTGAAATAACCTCAGGGTTTTGTTCCCTGTTGCCACCTTACGCACGTAGGAGTACCCAAAAGCGGTGTCTCCTTTTAGGACACGAGCAGATTGGTAACACCAGGTGGAACGCGCAGTGGCCGCTATTTCTCATCCCATCCCTGGACTCAGCAGCACTGCTGGGGCCATCAGAGCAAGGTTTCCTCCCCAGCACCCAATTATGTCCATTTAAAGCACCTTTTTCTGCTGCTTCTCTGTGGCCATGGGGTGGTGGCACGGCTCAAGGCAGCCCTGGGCCATCGCAGCCGCTGTGCACCGGGCTCTGTCCAGAGAGTGGTTTTCCCTATCCCATGCCTCCCCTAGATTAATTTTTATTACCCAGGAAAAGGAAGAAACTTGTTTTTGTTACCCTTAAACTGCCTCTGTTTTCTTTTTCTAAGCACAGCAGAATACTGACGTGTCCTTGCACCAACCACTGTTGTTAGCTTTTGTGTTTTCTAGATTTCACTGCCTTCTTTTTAGGGTTAAAACACAGCGTGCTGGGGCTGAAATAAAAACACCCTCATTTGATTTGCAGCAAACAGAAACCTCTGAGGGGGTGGTGGGGCAATCCCTGCAGTGTTCCCCCTGTAAGCGGTGGGTGCCTGTTGTTCCAGGTGAGACAGCGGACACGCTCATGGGCCTCCGGTACTGCAAGGAGAGAGGAGCCTTAACCGTGGGCATAACCAACACCGTGGGCAGCTCCATATCGCGAGAGACCGACTGCGGAGTGCACATCAACGCGGGGCCCGAGATCGGCGTGGCCAGTACCAAGGTCAGCAATAAGTTCCTAGACCTCCCTCACGATGGTGATAGTTATCATTACTGTAGTGTGGGTCCTCTGTTAAATACTTGCAGTTCCCTTTTTACAGGATGCTGCCGATGGCTGTGTAGTCAATGCCCACATAACACACATCATTTTCTTTTCTCTTGCGAAGGGCACTTTTGTTTAAAAAATCATTTTAAGGAAGCAATAGTAAACATCACAAAGCAAGGGGGGCTCGGAGGCAAGAATTCTCTCCTCTTTGCCATCATTTGTCTTGAGGTGCAGACTCGATTTTAAAATAAGCTCTAAAGATGAAAGAGGAAATTAAAAGGCAAGATTATGGAAACTCTGACGGCCCTTAATGGCACCGCTTTACCAACCAAAGGGTGGTGTTTAGACTGCACCTTCAGCAAACAGGGAATCATCTCTTACAGAAAACCTGTGTTTCTGTCCACCTGACAGAATCAGTCCGTGGTCAATGCCTCTGGCTACGCGTGATACAGTATAAAGTAACTTGCTGTGCTGCATTTCATTTGGGTGAAGTGCTTCTGCATGGTGAAATCTGCTTTGGTTTAGTTATATTTAGAGGCGAGATGATGTCAATCTGTTACATAAATTCAGCCAAAAAACCACATTTGAGTTTAATAGTTCACTGGGGAATTTAATCATGGAAAATTCAGGAGCCTCTTACAAGAAACTCTTGGAGGAGTTGTTTGTCCTGGGTTGTTTTCACGTAGCCAACATTACAGTTTGGCGAGAACTGAAAATGGCATTTTCTGTCTGGTGATGTTGTGCGTCTATGAAATATGAACTTGAGAAGATTCTGCCCAATGTTGTCCAGAGCTTCACTTTGAGACCATATCGTGACACCCCAGGCATTTTTAGTGTGACCATTTGGTGCCATTTACCTCTGTAACCTCCAGCTGCCCCAAAACAAAGCAGATCCCATCCACATCCAACCCTGCTGTCAGCACAACCCAAGCTTTTCTCGATTCCCCCAGAGCTGCTTAAATCCTCCCCAGTACAGCGACATGAAATTTGTTTGATCGTTGTTCAGCAACCTTCACAAACCTTAATCTCATTTCTAAGCAGCTTGCAGCCCAGGCTGGCCCCACCGACCATTTCATACCCCTCAAGGTCACAAAATAAGATTTAATAATTCCCAATGAATCTTAGAAACGTTCAGTTTTTCTTGTTGTATCTTAATTTCTTGGAGCATAAGGAGTTGGTGCCATTGCACACCTCCATTTGAGCCCTGCTGTAATTATATCTACCCTATGAATTTCACGTTCATCTTTGATACGTAATTGGAATGAACACCGCCCTTTGGTACCACGTTAAGAATGAAGTCAGGAGCTTCTCTAAGGATTTAACGCAGTGGGTGACAACCGTTTTGTGAGTGACTTAATGACGTGTTTTCTCTCTCTCTTTTCCCCCTTATTAGGCCTATACCAGCCAGTTTGTCTCTCTGGTGATGTTTGCTCTGATGATGTGCGATGACAGAATTTCTATGCAGGAAAGGCGCAAGGAAATCATGCGTGGTCTGAAGGGGCTGCCAGGTAGGAAACGGCTGCATTTATTGCATCTTGGCGAGTGAAACTCAATAGCACAAACTGTGGTGGTGCCTGAACTTTGCTTTTGGAAGACCGAGGGGATCAGATGTTTGCAATGTGGCCATTAGCAGTAACTCCTGCAACTGCGTTCCCTCTGCTGTCTTCAGGCCACTACATCAGCCTACTAAAATAGTCCTGTTGTATGCAAGTCTATGTGTATTTTCTGCTCTCTGTACAGATGAAGTGTAAACAGAATGTACAGTTTGAGAGCACACACACAACTTGAACTCTTGTCATTCCCTCTAGACTTAATTAAAGAAGTGCTGAGCATGGATGATGAGATCCAGAAGCTCGCCACAGAGCTGTACCATCAGAAGTCGGTTCTCATCATGGGACGTGGCTACCATTACGCTACGTGTCTGGAGGGAGCTCTGGTAAGAGATTGCTTTCTTTAAAGCTGCTTCAAACGCTCTCAGCTCTGGACTTGAGGTTCCAGCACAGGAAACGATGCGTTGTTTTAAAAGCAGCTGACAGCTATGGCGTGGTGGCTGAGGTACTGGGTCAAAGAGCTAAAACTCACTGTAACTGCTGAGATCTCCACTTACAGACACCCAATTCACGTAACAGCCCCAGGCCACAGTGGGGTGAGAGGTGTATTAGCAGCATTCACACTGCGACAGACTGGGCACCCCAATAAAATTGGCTCTGATTTGTTGGGGTGGAGTTTCCAGGAGCGGTCAGCATCTAAAACTGAGAGAAGGCTGAGGGGAGCCCTCATCACCACCTACAACTGCCTCAAGGGAGCTTGTGGAGAGGTGGGTGCTGGTCTCTTCTCCCAGGTGATGGGGGATAGAACAAGGGGAAACGGCACCAAGCTGTGCCAAGGGAGGTTCAGGTTAGAGAGAAGGAGGAAGTTCTGTACTGAGAGGGTCGTCAGAAGCTGGAACAGGCTGCCCAGGGAGGTGGTGGAGTCACCATCCCTGGATGTGTTTAAGGAGCGGGTAGACGAGGTACTTAGGGATATGGTTTAGGGGGTAGACAGGAACGGTTGGACGTGATGATCTCAGAGGGCTTTTCCAACCGAGCAATTCTGTGATTCTGTGTGCTTGCTAAAAGCTGGATACTGCAGTTTTGACCTTTGTGGAGATTCCTGGTGGTGTAAGTGCTGTCACCACTGACACGCAAACGCGTCCCCTCTGCCTTTGCCAGGTCAAGACATGACAGATACGTTGGCTGATGGCAAATCTTAAGGGCTGCAAGTGCTGATGGCCTGCAAGCAAAAACTTACAGGTTTACCCAAAGCTTTATGAATTATTCTTTTTTCCCCCATCTAGAAAATTAAAGAAATCACCTACATGCACTCCGAAGGGATTCTGGCAGGCGAGCTGAAGCACGGCCCTCTGGCGCTGGTGGACAAACTCATGCCCGTCATCATGATCATCATGAGAGACCACACGTACGCCAAGTGCCAGAACGCTCTCCAGCAGGTCATCGCGCGGCAAGTAGGTACCTGTGGGGCTTCACAGCGCATCAGAAGTGTTGCTTTTGATATAGAGGCAGTTTACAGGGCACCCAAACTATTTGCTTCAGTGTCACCGGCTGAAATATGAATTCTGTAGATAGCCTGGGCGTTTCAAGTGCAGTTTTGGCAGCAGATTGCAGTGTGGTTCGTTCACCACTCTGGGGATGCCCATGGGATGCTCAGCTGTTTTCTTCTAAATGAAATAAAAAACTCCTGCCCCTGGTGCTCTGAACAGGGGTGAGGAAAGGACTTCCCAGACCTGGTTTTCTTCAGCATTTCCCTCCGTTGCAGGGGCGCCCGGTCGTGATTTGCGATAAGGAGGACATCGAGACAATTAAGAACAACAAGAGAACCATCAAAGTCCCCCACTCGGTGGACTGCCTGCAGGGGATCCTCAGCGTCATCCCCCTGCAGCTCCTGGCTTTCCACCTCGCCGTTCTCCGAGGATACGACGTAAGTGCAGCACCGCGGCCCTGCCCTCGCGCGCTCGCGTTTGCCATCGGCGGAGCTGGAAGAGATGCGCTGGGTGATGGCGAAGGCCGTGGGGGTTGTCTTATGGGAGCTCCTTGTGACCAAGGCTTGGTGCGCCTGGCCCAGTTTGAGTGTGGACCCGTGTCTGGTTTCTGGTACGAGTGCAGTTTCTGCAGGGCTGTAGGAAGCTAAAGGGAAGGTAATGAGAAGGAAGAGAACAATCTGCAAAGGCTGTTGGAAAAGTGGAGTCTGTCTGCGTTAGGGGTTTGACACTGGCCTCTATCATTTGAGCACTGAAACAGCATAGAGTGAAGGGGCAAACTCCTCAGCTCTTGACAGAGGAGTTGTAACAACTGAGGTCTATGGACTTTTTCTGCAGTGATTGTCCTGGAGAAGAGAAGGCTCTGGGGGGACCTTACAGGGATCTTCCCATACCTGAAAGGTGCCTGTAAGAAATCTGGGGAAGAGCTGTTCACTGGGGCATGGAGCAATAAGATGAGGGGGAATGGTTTTAAACTGGAAAAGGGGAGATTTAGGTTGGATATGAGGAAAAAGCTCTTCCCCATGAGGTGGTCGATCACTGCACAGGTTGCCCAGAGGTGGTGCAGGCCCCATCCCTGGAGATGTTCAAGGCCAGGTTTGATGGGGCTGTGAGCAACCTGGTCTGGTTCAAGATGTCCCTGCTCACTGCAGGGTTGGACTGGATCAGCTTTAAAGGTCCCTGCCAACCCAACACACTCTGTGATTCTGTGATCCTAAATTCACACGGAAATGCGTTCAATCGTTTTCAGTTTAAACGCAGAAGAAACGTTCCACGCGTTGCAAAGTTGGACACAAGCGGTGTGTAAATACTCACGAGCGTGTTCTTTCTCCTCCCTCTCTGCAGGTTGATTTTCCAAGAAATCTGGCCAAGTCCGTAACTGTAGAGTGAAAGATCATCTGAATCATAGGGGCAAAGGGGAATTAAATGAAAGACTCTTTTTTGGTACCAAAATAACTTGATTTTAAAGTCCCCTAGGTAAATCTTATTTTGGTAAATCACTGTTTGTGTATACGATCACCGTAATTCCATTACATTAGTGACTGTCGGATCGATTCCACACGCTGCGCCAATAGCTTTGGGTTTTTTTGAACTTCCAGGAGAGATGTTAAATGGTTTTCTTTAAAGATTACTGAGTGTTCTAGGTAAGGGGCCCTCCAACTTTACTTTAAGGTAATGTCGTTGTTTTTTAGCCAGTGTGGCTCATTCCAATCCTTGCTGAAAACCATGACATGAATTTCCGGCCATGCTCTCAGGCAGTGAAGCAGGACACCAGTAAACGCAACTGGAACAACCGGTCACGCTCGTGCAGAGATTTTACCAGTGGACAAAGCTGTAAATAGGCATTTTGGGGTCATTTCTGCCTCGTGTACGAAAGGGAATTCAGCCGAGCTGTCGTGACCTCCTCAAGTGTAGGTAAACGTGCTAAGAAAACGATGTTGCTCCTGAAGGATTTAATCCATGCCAAATACCTTGCAGAGTGACAATCTCGTGGCCTGGGTGGGCAGCACCAGCGTGTACCCAGCACATGCCCTGTGTGTACCCATGGTGTGCCCATCGTGTGCCCCTGGAGACCCGCGCAGCCCTCGAGCGTAACTGGAAACAGCGGCTGACGGTGCAGACGCTGACCAAAGTGGGGAAAAAAGAGAGGAGTACGGACAGTGCTCAGGCTGTGCTGGGGGCTTGGTGCTCCTGTTGGAGTTTCTTGGGGTATTTTTCATTTTTAAGCAAGCAGAAGTGTTCCTGTGTGGAGGATTTCCCCCTGAACTGAACCAGCTTTAGGCTGCTCCTCGTCTAAACACATAGAAGGAGGTTTCTGCCTTGTCTCTCCCATTAGAGACGGCACTAACACTTCCTTGAGGCCTCCTGTGTTAGCCAAAGTCCCTTAACGAACGCAGGGAGTCTGGTTTAATTAGCAGCAGTTTGTATGTGACTTGTGTCAAATTCAGCTGGTTTAAAACCAGAGGGGATGGGAAAGGCTCGATGGACACCACAGAAATGTAACCCTTGGTAATGGTTTTATAAGGAGCTTGCGGAACATCAGAAATTACCCAGAGATCCCCCTGCAGGACTTCACTCTGACTTTGTCACAGTCATCAGAGGGCAGTTGGCAACACTTCCTAATGCAGAAAGGGGAATTTCCTACCAGCTCGATGGGTTTTGAAGTGGCTTTACACACCCTATACAGAGAAGCACACTACAAGCCGTAAAGCGACGCTTGCCAAGCGTGGGTGAATATTCCAGGTCAGTGCCTGCCCCCAGGAGCCGCTTTAACCCATGGCCCCTGCCCATCACAGCCCAGTTCTGCAACCCCGGCCAATCCAGACCATGGAGGGTGACTCCAGAGCGAGGTGTTCCTGAAAACCGCGTCTGCTTTACGTAAAACCCCAGTAGCTCTTGAACCTCAGGATCAGCTCAAGGCTTAGTTTTAATCTGACATGCAACGCTGCGTGCCTGGAAACAGCTCCTCAAAACCAGAATGTGTGTGTGTTAATGCACTGCATTCAGACTCCTCAGTTCTGATCGCGCTGCGCTGCCGGCGCCCAAGAACAGAGCAGCAAATACTGCATTTTATTTAGACAGCGCTTCCTTACGAGGCACCGACTCATAATCCTTCCGTGCCTCCCTGCTCCACTGGAAGATGATTCTTGTCCTTGAGGAAAAAACAATGTTCAATGCCAACAATTTGGAGACGTTTCCTCTTCCGCTTGGCTTAAGAGAAGGGAAACTGCAACCCTCCCACGCTGGGGGCTGGAACCAAAGCAGGGTTCCCCTGGCATCCCCCAGCACGACGACACAAGGGCGTGCAGTGCCACCTCCTCCTGAGCATGGGGTGATGTGAAAGAGCCCTCCAAGAGGATTATTTTCACTTTTTTATTCTATTCTGCAGCAGCAAGCATTGCTTTGACCCGGCCTTGCTCAGATGGTTGTCCCAGCAAACAGGAGGGCTGACGTCCCCGTTAAATACAGCGAGAGCTCGATAATGCAGGCTGGTAGTTAGTTATAAAAGCTGTGTACAAAGAGGACCAAAGAACAGGAGCCCAAGGTAGAAATGAGTCTGACACTTGTGCCGGGTGTCCCTGTACAGACACTTGGTTTTCTGCCATGATATTTTCCTTATTCTTGGTGATTTAAGGCATTAAAGCTGGTGACAGATCCTCTGTTCGTCAGAGGTAAAGGCAGCGCTCGCCCCCAGCTGCCAAAACAGAGGCGCAGTCGCTGCGTGCTGCCCGCTCGCTGTGAGGAGTTGCTCTGATGAGCGCGGTAGGGAACTCGTTAAGCATCTCGTCGTTAATTGCCATGCCTGTGTGAAGTGCGAATGTGTAAAGGACTCTTCCTGGCTTTCCTTACCTCATTTTGTCCGGACGTGTTGCATTTCGACGAACAGACGACGTTTCTCTTTTCCTTAGGAAATCTTTTAGAGTGTCTCGTGGTATTTATTAACAGTCTTCTGCTCTCCAAAATGAATGTGTTGCTTACTGAGCCAGTCACAGCCCCTCCTTCCTCACTGAGGTACTGAAAAATCCAGTAGCCCCATCACTAAAATTGAGCCACAGGTAAATGCAGACCAAGGCCTTTGCCGCTGCCTGTTTGGCAGGATTTATTGTGACTTTAGTGGCTGTTTTCCTCCCCTGTGTCTGCAGAGGTTTAAAGGGAAGCGCACACCCAAAGGTCTTGGGGTTTTTAATCGGCGCGTGTTGTTTCTGCCCAAAAGATCTCGGCCAAATTCCCAGCACCAGTAAGGTGACCCCACTCACAATAGGAAATTAAGTTGTACCTGGAATATAATACAGGTATTAGTGCAGAATGAGGTTTTTCTCTCCCTGGGAGGCGTTGATGCCGTGAGGAGGTGCTGGGCAGCAGCAGGAAGGGTTGAAATCTGGCGTTTGCAGGGGCCTGTCCGTGTTTATCTGTGGCTGATTTTAGCTCCTACCCGAATGTCCCAAACTTGCCTCAAAGCCTGGAGTCCCTCCTGCCATCAGCCACAGGAAGAAGAAACACAGGAGAATTTGGTTTGATTTAAAGGACAGAAAACGATTTGCCTTCAATTCCCTTGCTGTAAATAGACACTGAAGTGGCAAACCCCTCCCAGCCCCCTTGGCCCCTGGCTTGGTACGCGGGGACCAGTGTGGATCTCGTTTCTCGTCGTGTGCTGTACGCAGAAGATGTCTGACTTCTGTCTGTAGTGTTTTATAATTTGGGTTTTGTCTTTTTGCTTACTTTTTTGTATCTCACCCTTTGAATAAAATCAAGTGCCCTACATTAAACAAACGGAATTACTGGTCTTCAGTTAAACCCACTTACGAATAGGGAATAACCTATGGAAGGTAAGGGCAGCACTTGCAAAGCTGAAAAACACAGGGCTTAGCTCACCCCTCTCCTACCTGACCGGGCTCTTTTCATGGCTGAGATTAAATATCTTGTATATCTGTATATCTTACACCATGATTTTGCCACTAACCAAGAAGAACGCCCATCAAATACCCCTAAGGCAGAACCTTCATTCACATTTAACTGCCCCTTTCCTGTCACTGGGTGAGAGAAGTTGCAGTCAGCACAGCCCATACACCATCTGTGATTACTGAACGTTACCCACGGTCTCTGTTTCAAGAAATGAACCCAGTTTGGGTACGGCACCGACAGCAGTGGGGGCGATGGCGCAGCTGCGGAGCTCGCGCGATGCAGCGCAGGTTCCTGTGGGACGACAGCTGGGGGCTCAGCACATCCCAAAAACGCCCGGATCGCTCTGTAAGAGAAACCCACCGTGACTGAAGACGTCTGAAATCCCCTCCTGCAGCCGTGGAGTCGTTTCCTCAGGGAGCTGCACCTCCCCAGGGATCAAATCAAACACCATCCTTTATTTTCCTGGACTAAGTGAGCAGCTTGGCCTCGCTCTGCTCACAAATGCCTCTGCTATGCAAGTACCGGTATTAAAATGTCCTGAGGCTGCTTTTTAAGGCTCAGTGCCTTGAAACAACGCACGGACGGCCTTCGTATCAAGTAAAAGTCAGTGCCTGTGTGGATGTTGGGAGCAAGACCAAGCTTTTGCTTGCTCAGAGCTGTAAATTCAACAGCCCTTACCTTAGCCGAGCTGGTACTGCAGTCATAGACAAAAATGGGACAAAATGCTCCAAGTTTTGGGCTTTTACTGCTGTTGCTGCAGGTCACAGCCCCTCAGGATACCGAAGGAGCAGGGGATGTTGCACTGAAGCAGTACAGGACAGTGGTTGAGTGCAGAATCGACCCAAAACGACCCCAGGGCTGCGAAGCCAAGAGCTGAGATTCTCCTCAGCGGCTGTGGGAGCTGCATCCCCTCACAGCAGGGAGGGGACAGGGCCCCCCTTTCTTTAACACACACCAAAAGTCAGGGAGCTGCGTTGTGATGGGAAACTGAGGCACTGCCAGGGTCCTCACTTGCCCATGGCTCCACCTGGGCCATCCAAGCACACGCAAGCAGTGCATTGTGTTTAAGCTAATAAAAAACAAGAAGAGAAAGGTAAAGGGACACAGCCAGGGCCCTGAGCTGGTGCTGAGCTCTGGCTGCAGCAAAGCCATTCCCTGACATCCCGATGGGGCCAAAAGCACTGAGAAGGGGCAGGGGCACAGGAACGCTTCAGTTCCCACAGCGTCGGTCTCTGCAGTTTGACTTTTGCAGCTAAGCCAGGTCCCAGCAGCAAAGTGAGATTCACAGAAGGGCACCAGCATTTGCTGTGAATAAAAGTGGAGCAGCTCCTCACGTTTACCCTTCACGCATCCACAGCCCCGAGCTGCTGACTGCACACAGCCGAGCTGCTTCAGTCCCTGTTTTTACCTCTTCTGTGCTAAAGGGGTGCTCGCCCTTGCTCCTTGCACCGCCGAGCCCCTGGGACTGGGGCTCGGTCAACACCACATTGCCCTCTTGCTCTGCTGTGACCTGGTGTTCAGCACTGCAGAGCACACCTATAGCCCCATACAGTAACTGCTTGTACAGGAAACACCCGTGTGGGTGCCTGGGATGACAGAAATGCCACCTGCCCCCCAAAAAAGCTGGTTCTGAGCATCCTAGAGTGACCAGAGTGGGAAGCAGCAGCCCATGGGGATGCTATGGGGAGTCCTTGCCCAAGACCCCTTTTAGATAGGAAAAAGTTTGGA